GAAAGGCAGTTTGCCTTCTTACAGCTGGTCAGAGTTGCTGTTTTCTTGAAGGATATTTTATGTAATGAATAAAAATAATTTTAAAGAGTGAAACTTTGTTCATCTAGAGTTAATTTTGCATGATTATTCCTCGAAGTCAGGACATCAGAAAGATAAATCACAGCATTATCTCAACTTTGTTACACACTCTTTTCATTTTACAGTACATCTTTCGTCATGTAATCAGTCATCTATAAAATGCTAGTTACGTACTCTGAGAGGTATAGACTACTCATGAAGAGTTTCAGCTGTTTTGGAACCAATACCTTCCTTGGTGCTCAGAACTCTTAACAGAAATCAGTGGGAGGTCTACGTGTCTAAAGCTTTCAAGGATAAAAGACCCTTAAATTTTAAAGCCATGGCTGTCTTCTGGCAGATAGTGAAAAGAGCTGAATGAAAAGTCCGCTTACTTTTAAAGCCTGCAGATAAATCCGTACCTCTTCTCCCTTCACCCGTTTCCACATGATTGTGCAGGACCAGATCTTCTGCTGATTATGTCTGCTTTTAATTGTTTTGCACTATCAATGTGATTTCTAGGAGCAAGCTCATACTTTGATAATACAATTGGAGGTGTATAAAACTGTTAAAGTATAATCAAAGCACAACATTTTAGCTGATAATAACCACTGATTCTTCCATTTTTTATTCTTTAATTCAGCCATCTGTTGTTTAGATCTGGTAACACAGGAAGGATGTAAGACTAATATATGTTGATCGAAAGACCAAAAAAGAACTACGTCAGAGAACTTGCTTTATTTTAGGACCATGTACTCACAATTGCTTCTCATGTTTTGTACCTTTCATGCCAGTCACAGTACAGAAGACATATATAACCTTTCCTTCAAAGATGAAAATGCTAGAGCCATAGTATTCCTTGAAGTATTCGTGAAAGTTGAAGAGATGAAATACAAATCTGACCAAAAATTGATGGATTTATTTTCAGTGGTTCTGGAAAGTATTCTGAATATCTTTTTAGCTGATGCTAATGAGGAAAATATTTTGCTCCCTTTTTGAGAATTTAAAGACTCACCAGTCTGCACATTTAGTTCCTCTGTCACTTAATAGTATATTGTAAATCGTGATGATTTTCTACAAACATAAAGCTCAGTTGTCTGTGGGAATGTCTTCTAAGCCCTGAAAAAAGTCTGCAAATTTTGATACAAAGCTTACACAAGCCCTGTATAAGGCAGACGAGTTTTGAGGGAGCTAAATGTATTTAGGTGCTTCACTTTAAAAAGTGAGTACTGTTAGTGATATGTGGTCCTGTAGGAAGCTTTCATTTTCTTCTTCAACATATGTTAAGATATCTCACACGAGAAAACTTAAGTTTTAGAGAGGAAAAAATCTAACTTACGTATTTATATTTCTAAAAGCAGAAGGAGTGACAATGTTTCTATTATGCCTCCTTTTTAACGGGTAAACACGGAACTGGTAACTTCCCTTTGACTTCTCCTCAGATCTTTAAAACAGTTAATTGTTGTGGCTTCCTTGAGTCTTTGTTGCAAATGTCTAATTTCTGCTCTCTCTAATTTAATCTTCAAAGAATGAAACAGTAGAGAGGAAGACCAGCTATGACTTCCAGATGTAGGTCTCTTTCTTCTAGCGTCTTCTTGCGGAGTCCCAAAAGACTCCTTGACTTCTCCGTACTATGACCCTAGGTATTCAGAAGACTTATGTTGGCTTTTTGGGTTTTGGCACTTCAGCCTGTTTATCTTAGCTCTAAAAAATCCAAACTGTAGTCATCTTCAAAATCAAAACGGGTCAGTTCTGAGTAGTTTACGCATTGAGATAATTAGCATTACCTTAAGAAGTCGACTGTGTCTTCAGAAAAACCAGTGTTGTTCTTCCAATGATTTTATTCAGATAAAAGACAAAATCTTAAAATATCTTTTATATTTTTATAAAAGCTTATATATAAAATCTAAATTTGAGTAAAAAGAATATTATCAACAGTTTTTAAATGATGATTTTTTGCATCTCAGTGACATCAACTAGAAGAATAACTTACATTGCTCTGGTGTTTAAATGTATCTTTTGCATAACAAATCGGCTCATACCTATTTAAATTATATTTTATTTTCATACTGAAGACAAATCTAATGATTTTGATACAAAATAGGAATGTGAGTACTTTGAAGCAGGCTTCTTATCCTGGAATGAAAGTGAACTTGTCCTAATGTAAAAATAAGTAGGTCTTTACTATACACAAGTTTAGGAAAAATACCAACAAAATGATTCATTAAGCTATTTTTATCATTCTGTTTATGATAGTTAAACTCATTTGCTATGCTTTTAATGTTTTTTGATGAGTTTATCATATAGCTATAAAAATGATAATAAAATACAAAACATCATGCAAGTTTTCAAATAGAATCAAAGTTATTATTTTTTAAAGTAGTTTTTACATACCTTTTTTTCCCCAGCTTTGGTAATGTTTCATACAAAATTCTTGCAATTGTTATAGTTTGAAAACAGATATTATAAAATGGTAGGATTTCCAGTTAGGAATTTGGTTAATGAAACAAGTGCATAATATAAATAACAAAGTAAGACAATTATTGTTACTTAATCAGTTATTGGGGACAATCAGTGTATGCTTATTTTAACCAATCAGAGATTTACTCATTTTAATTGTGTATTGCATAGTCTGCTGTGACTCTAAATCAGATCTTCCAGACTTCAAGAGATAATTCTTACATGTGTTTTTCTGCCTTGTCATAAGGAACAAAGATTTCTTAAATAGATAAAGGCCTTTTTATAGTAAACTGGAGTTAGTGCTTTGTCACTTAAAAATTGTATCAGGATAAAAGAGGTTTACTTCTCAGAAATTTCATTTAAATATTGTTAGTTGGATTGGAATTGGGAGTTTAGTACTTCATGAAAACACTTATTTGGTTAAGTTTGGGATAAATCATGGGGTGGAGTTGGGTTACTGGACTCATTTATGGCTTTGAATGTGACAGCCTTTTTGTACAGGGTAGCGCAATCTGCTTGATTGTAGAAGGCGACCAAAGGAAGACTTTTGCCTTGGATATTTCAATATCACTCACCTATAATTTGCTGCTGACCTTCGTTTACAGATTTGGTCCATGGGTGTCTTCTCTTAGGCTTTGAAGAGGGATGGTTTTATTCCTCAAAATCAAAGACAAAAGTGTTCAGACTTCACCATGGCTATATTTGGTAGTAAGCATTAATTCGTCAAAGAGAATCTTTGCAGGAGTGAACTTGTTGTTTTTTAAAGACTTGGAAGCCATTGGTAGGTTGTGCATTACGCCATGGCACCCTGCTTGTGTTTTTTATGCTGTTGTCAGACATTTCCGTACTCATATCACAGTGGTGATTTGAGAAGAGTGCATCATCATAGGTATTTAAATTAAGCCATTAAAGTTTTCTTACATAGTAGCATTTTTTTGGTGGGTGAATATATTAGAAACACTCCATTTAAATCAGATCATTTTTGTCTATAATGTTTTTATCAGTTTTATGTGTATTCATGGTATGTTTATTTTTATTGTAAATCACAAAGGAAATTTCAGAGAAAGACTAAAGACGCTTAATTTGGTTCTGTGAGCTGGAATAAGACAATATTCTTTTTCTGCAACTGTTTTTCTTGTAGTTGTGAACATATGACAATTTTGTTTATATTAAAAAAGTAAAAAATCCCAAACCAATCAAAGAAATTATGAAGCTTATAATTTTAATAATGACTTCAGCTCAGGACATTAAGTTGGGAATTAATGATCAGTTAAGGTTAATGACTCAATGCATTGAGTCATTAAACTCCAAGAAAACTCCCTGTACTTTGATTGTTTTTGGTTTATTAAAGGTAGGTTGTAGAAGTTGCAAAAAAAAGGGGAATGAATATGGACAGAAAACAGAGGTGTTTTATTATCTGCCTCCTGCAGTCCCAGCATAGCTAAACATGCCATTATCCTTGATGAGAGTTTTGTTAGCGTGAGGACCTAAGGAGCAAAACCTTTCATAGCCACCTTTCTTTTCTTTCTTGTTTTGAAACAAATGAAGAACCTCAAATGTTTGGCAAAGCACAGGTTAACACTGCAGTGTTAGAACTGCACATCATCTTTTTCTGTGAACTTATTCCACAATGTCCCTTAAATAGGCAGTTACAGGATACTGCAATAGTACTATGCTATGATCTGTACCTAAGAATACAAGTCTTTGGATATGCATTGTATGTAGCAGGTAGATATTTGCACGTAAGTGGGTAAGAAGTATTTTCATTGTAATCCGTATCTAATTTGTATGCTGCTTATGCAGTCCAGGAGATGGAAAGTTGTGTATGTGAGCATTTAACAGACAAGGAGTGCTTAAACCTGAAGCCCTTTATTTTTCCATACTGGACAGATGTAAGCTGCTATGATGGCCGTTGCTCAACAATATCTTACAAATAATTTTGAGTCCTTTCTGACATAAAGTAGTATATTTAATGTAAGGTGTCTTAGTGAGATTTTCACTTTAAATAGAATAAGGGTTAAATGATAACTTGACTTATCTTTTAAATGACAAAAAATAAAGAAATTGCAAGACCTTTTCACACATTAGATATGTATTGTCATTTATCATCTAGATATCAGGCTAGCAGTGCGAAGTAATAAAACATATCATCGAAAAATGTGCTATAGGTCTGAATCACTCTTTCATTCCACCTCCCAGCTAACTGTAGTATTAAATCAAACAAGCAGAACATTTCCTTAGGCAGCCATTGCCTTTTAATTTCCTGAAGAACCTTAAAATATCATTCATTACAAGTACTACACATATTTGGTTTTTAAAAGTCTCATAAATCAATAGCAGGCTGACTGTAATAATTATTACAAGTTAGTGCATAATTTTCGTGCTGAAGGCTGCATGCAGAACTTTAGCATATGCAAACGAGGCAATTCAAACTGTGTATAGATATTAATATGAAGAAGCAGGTAACGAGGTGCAGGCTATGAATTATGCATCAAGAGCGGCTGATCTTCAATGAGGAAAATGAATTCAGCATGTAATCTAATTAGTGATGGAAGTCTATTACATCTAACTGCAAAAGCAACCGTCCTTGAAACAAATTTATTTACAGTCCATGTTACCACTTGAAACAACTTTGAAATGATGTGTAAGACAACAGCTTAATTGTAAAAATTTTTTTGTTTGTTTGTTTCAGTTCTAGACCTGGAAGGCCTCCTAAGAGGACTCAAAGTGTCACCTCCCCAGAGAATTCTCATATCATGCCACATTCTGTCCCAGGCCTAATGTCTCCTGGAATCATCCCGCCAACAGGTAGGATCGCTAGAAACACCTTCACACGGGCAATCTTTTGAACTCATGGCTTATATCCTCTTGTTAATAAATTAACAGTCTAGGAAACCAGCACCCAAATATTACAAAGGAGTTCCCGTAATGTAACATTATCGCTACATAAAGGTATTGTATGTAACGGAAATTGTGGCAGCTCAGTACTTTAAAATACAAATAACTGAGCAAATAATAATCCTTTGTAATTTTTCCCCTGTTCTTTTTCTTTATAAACAAAAAACCTTTCAAAGCATGAATTCCCTATCATTAGGCAATAATCCCCCTGTTCGTTTTTAATAGATCAAATATCTTCTGATTTTTTGCTGCTTTGCTTGATTAGATAATGTCATCATGAATACAGTTGCCTGAAGAAACCGAGTTAGTTAAAATAACTGCATGCTGCACACACGTCTTTCTTAATTTTTCATCCTGAAATTCTATTTTTGATATGTCTCCTGAGGCCTTATACTAATGTAAAGTCCTGTAACAATCTGTTTCTCAAACTACTATTTTCTTTTGAAAGTTACTATAACATCTCCTAGCAGTGACTTGTTCTTAGACGTAGTTAAATTAAGAAAGGCTGTGCTGCAGGAAGGAGTTGACCAGAGCCACCTGAAGATGGAGGCACTCAACAGTCAAGCTGTTGATGGCGGTGCCACATTCTCTCTCTTCGTGTTACAGATGAGTTAAATTCTCCCACTTGCTTCAGGAAAGCTGACTTGAGCTTCCGCTTCTTCCCCAGTTGTTCTCCACTTGTTTGCACGGCTCAGTCGCTATCACTGATTTTCTCTAAGGCAAAGGAAAGATAACAAACTAGACAGATCCAAATAGAGAGGAAGATTGCTAAGTCTTGGAGACTGGACAGATGGGTGGATGTTTGAGTACGTGCCCGTGATCACATGCCTTTTTAAGTATGAGCATGATCCTTGGCATGGTTTTGGTCATAGCTGACCAACATTCTCCAAAAAAAGGCACAGTTCAGGAAATACCACGTGCCAGAAACTTGGCAGTTTGGATGCAAGCGTCTTGTCTGGAGGAGGGAGGAAAGTGAAGAGAGTTTAGCTCTGTTGACAAAAGTGGAGCCATGTCTCTTGGCCTTAGGGTTCGAGAGCTGCCTTATGTAGTGAGATAGACACATAGCCAGAAATGTTTTATTAGGAATTTACAGCTTTTCAAAAGGCTAAAGATCAAGAGGAGTAACAAAATGAAGCGAAGTCAGACAACTAAGGTTGGTAAGAGAGAGTTATAAAGTAAGCAGAGGGAAGGAGGGATGAGACTGAGAGTGCAGGCAAGCATGGGAGGGTGTCAGGCAAGTAGGACTCACAGTGGTAGTCTGGGCGGGTGTGACCAGCAAAAAAAATGAATCGGGATTAAAATATCTTATACAATAGGAATTACAGGATAAAATCTAGTAAAGGAAATAGAGTTGGTGTGGAGTGAATGCAACGTGAGAATAATAGAAAAGGTCTATGTGGGGAAAGAACGAAAGTTTTTATAGGGCAGACGCATTTGTGTTTATGAGGGAGAGATCAAAAATTGCAGAAGCAAAAGGAAATTATTTGGGGGAAGTAAGGCAGGAAAATATCAAAGAAAAAAATGCATGTGAAAAGTAGAAAGGAGATGACATGAAAGAAGTCAGAAACAAATAAGCAAGCCAAAAAGAGGAAGACGGGAAAAAAACCCTTGTCAACAGTATTGTTTGGGGTTTTGTGTTACAGTTAATATATAAGAGCAGATCGTCTCGTGATACAGTATTTTCTGGGGTTTTTTTTGCATTTTTTTTATTCTAAGAAAGCAGCTTAAAACCACAACTCATGCCTAAAGTATCCAATTCCTCTCCAGTCCTTTAAAGCTGGTCATAATAAGTTAATGATAAAAATACACGGTACTAAAAACACAGATCCAATTTCTTAGAATATCAGCCCACAAAACCAGATGTAGACCTTTTTAAAGTGATGATTAGAAAAAAAGAAGAAAATAATTCAAAATTAAACAAAATAGGCATATATAAGATTATCATTCATCGAATCCTTTTAGGATGGTAATACTTTGTGAGTCTCTTGCAAAAGAGGAAAGGTTTAAATGAAATTGCTATTAAGTTTGAACTGGTTTCACATTACATGGCTTACCACAACAGAAGGGGTGAGCATGATTTTTTCGCATTGTGGTGATGTTGAGTCTCAAACAGCATAAAAAATGTAAACACTGACACTGTTAGCAGCAAGCTCTGGAGTATAGTGTTCCACCAAGTATGGCTCAGCAAAGGTAAGGAACATCGTGACAGCAGCGCTACATGACAGTCATTCCAGCATTTTATAGACAGGCAAGTATAAAAATAGGCTTATAATCTGATTTTGTGAGTTCAAATCAATGAACATTTGTGCATCTACACTGTGAATAAGTACCAAAATCACTGTAAGAGCCTTACGAAGAAAGAACTGGTATAACTGCAATAGATGATGTTGGTGCAGTTGTTATGTGCTACCACATTAGTTGATACTGGAAAATTCTTGCCACTTGTGAACATTTTCCTCCATATTTTCACTGTATACTCATAGAACCACAGAATAGTTGAGGTTGGCAGGCACTGCTGGAGATCATCTAGTCCAACCTCCCTTGGTCAAAGTAGGGTGACAAAGAGCAGGTTGTTCAGGGCTGCACCCAGTTGGTGTTTGGGTATCTTCAAGGATGGAGACTCCACGTCTCTTTGCATCCTGTTCCAGTGTTTGACTACTCTCAAAATAAAATCTTTTTTGTTACTTTTCAATGGAATTTCTTGTATTTCAATTTGTGTCCATTGGACAACACTGAGAAGAGCCTGGCTCCATCTTCTTTGCTCCCTGTGCCCCTATCAGGTATTCATACATGTTGATAAAATCCCCCCTGAGCCTTTTCCAGGTTGAACAGTCAAAGGTCTCTCAGCCTCTCTTCATATGTCAGGTGCTCCAATCCCTTAATCATCTTTGTGCCCCTAAGATGACTCCTTGTTTGATAAGTCTATGAAGTTTGAATTTCCTGTTAGGATCCAGCTCTAAGCAGAAAAAAAATCAAAGTATCAGATTGTTAAGTGCTTCCTCTCCCTCTTTCTCTCTCTTTTTTTTGTAGCAAATTCTTCTTTTTAAGCTTTCTGATTGATTTAATAATCTGAGTATAATAACTAAGTTTCCTTCCTGCCTACAAAAGAGTATAAGTGATCACACAAACAATTATGTGCTATTTAATGCTCTTTAAGTAACAGAGATCTGCAATTATTAGGTATATCTAGGATACACAACGCTATGATTTAACGTATGATTTTTACTTGAAAATTTTCCTCTTTCTGAAATTGCTGCATATACAGAAATATACATTTAAAGGTGGAAATCCTGGTTTCTAAAGGGGCTGGTTCTGCATGCATTGCTTATGTGTGCAAATAATATTGGTACAAAACTGTAAGCTGAGACTTCTCATGAAATGTCATGATTGTATATTTTTGTAGGAGGCCAAGTTAAGGATCCCTTGAAAATGTATTCTATTACTGGTCCAATCTGAAAACCCATGCAGAGAATGTTGCATCATCACTTAGAATGGATTCTCTTTAGAGAAGTATTTAGGGACTAAGCTGAGATTTAGGGACTATACTGAGAAGGAAAATAAAAGGGAAAAAAGGAATAATATTCAACAGGTTTTTTTAGGGAGCATAAATTGAGGAAGTGAGGATCACCTCTTGGGTGATATTCTGTCCGTTTTTGTCACAAGATTTGTAAATGTTGCCCACAATTGCTGATCTTAGCACTGTCTTTCATTAGGGTCAACTTACAGACTGTTCCCAACTTTAGAAAAGATTGGTCAGCTGACAAAAGGCAGTCTTATTTTTATTAAAATAAATGTAAGACCTTTGAAGGTGTGACAAAATGAGGAATGTGTAGTAACAGGAAATGAAGAGCTTCTTGAATTGTCCAGAGAATTAAAATCTGCCTATGCTACAAATAATGTAGTCAGAAGAAAGAAGAGTTTGGTGTAGGTTCAGACAGGTGCACTGACTTTTCAGGCTTATCTGGATAACGCCTTGAAGCCCTTCCAAAACTAGATGGCTCATCATAGTTAACTTTGATCCGCATATCTCTGTGTACTGCAGATCTTTTCTTGACTAATGTGCTTAGAAGCTTCAAAAGTTTTCTGAAGTTGAAACGGTAGATAATTGTAATTAATCAGAAAAACAGTGCTGTAATTCCTGAGCAGAGTGTATGATATACATTGTGCTCTGTGTTTTTATGTCTGTAGTTGCTATGTAACATATAAAATGATATTTCCATTATTTTTCATACAAACTTTGAAAAGCAATTGTCTTACTTTTCAAAATAATTTTTTTGGTTATTATTATTAAGTATTTTAGGTTTCAAAACTGTTTTGTAAAGCTCCTGACTTAATTCTTCTGCAGCTCGGCCTACTGAGTCTGTAATCTAAAAGTGATGAAATGAGTAACTACAAAACTCTTGTACTTATTTCAGGAACTGCATCTTTCTCTCAAAGATAAAATGTGAATATAAAGTGCATTTGGAAATCACTGTGATAGGGCATGATAAGAATACTCTTTCATATTTCTATATATATCTATATAGACATATAGATATGTCTGTCAATTAAAAAAAAGTAATTTCAAAGCACCTTACATGTTTAATTTATTATGTTAATTTTACATTAATCTCAGTAATTATTGTTGCTGCTATTATTATTTTGAACAGATTTGCTTTACGATACGTACTTCTGTCCACCTATTCCACAGCTGATACCAGACTCTTCTTTTCCAGTGTAAAGATATTAAGCTTCCTCCAAAATGTTTCATGTGTGTGAATTGTAACTACTTTCCTGTATTAAACTCCTGTTCTGTTTTTTGTTTTCTTAAGTCATAATCTGAAGATTTAATTTCTAATCTCATCCTTATTTTCTCTCTTGCTGTGTGCCTGAATCAATAAATTTATATTCCAGCTTCCGTCCTGTACAAA